AGAAAAATCATGATATGTGCCATGTTTTGATATAGAACCATTTTCTTCAGATTTTGTAGTATCTAGATAGATCTCATCGTTTAAAATCTATGACCACACAGTCTGAGAATGAAAAAAGATGAAGAAATTCGATAATTAAAAGAAAAGCTTGAAAAGAAAGCTAAAGATACAGAAGAAATGGAAACTCAATTGCAAATATTTCTGGATGAAAGAGCTTCTCGAACAGATAATATGAGTAAAAAAATTTAAAACTTATTTTATCATATAATTTTAATTTTATATTTCTATTTATGTATCTAATCATTATCATTCACTCTATACAAGCACCTGACTTTGAGAGAAGTACTGCCAAGGATTTCTTTTGTAATTTTTTTGATATCATGCTACTCAAAACTTTCAAGAGAAAAGTTCTTTGCGTCTGTACATGACATTGGATCTACTTAAAAGTTGGTACTATGATTTTTGTATCAATTGATTTGGTTAATAAAAAAGATTTTGTCTTCCTTTTTCTTGAATTGTGAGCTATCATTGTGGTTAGTGTATCCTAGTAATTCGTATATTATCGTGGTTATCTTTCATTGGATTGGTGTATCTATTCATGTAATTAAATAATAGCAAAAACATGTGAATTATGATTGTGATAGTTTTTTTTTTTTGGGTAAAATTTGATAGGGCATATCCTGATATCGTCCTTTAATTATCGATTAGAAATCATATCAGCCAGTATGGATTCTCGGAGCCGAAGTGGCACATGCGCATCTCATACCCTTGGGAGATGGCGGACCATGCTCCATCGCTCGGGATCGTTTGAGATGGTGCCTCATAGCACAAAACTGCTCGAGAACGTGCGAAATGACACTATGCAGCACGAAACTGTACAGATCGATTTGCATTGTACAAAGTATACGGGTTGGTCATCCAGAGCCTCAACGGTCATTAGCGGATCACATATGACTAACCCTTGATCATAGGTACAAAGGCCGACCTCGTAGCCAAGGCTAGGGGATCAGACCTCGGATACTAAAAACACTCTTAACTCATCATACTAACTTAAGCTTCTTAGGATCGAGCAAGAATCTCCCTCCCGACATTGACTTATATACTATAAGGTGACACCGAAGCAAGAATCTAAGTCCATGCTCTACCTTGGGTTGATCCAGCAAACAATGCTCCTACTCTACCCGACACCGATTCCCTCACCTCAAAAGTCCACGTGGACGACATTGTGTTCTCGGAATCGAGCTGAGTCATCATGCTGACTCCCTCGACGGCAGCGCGAAATTGCACAACAAAAGTATCTATTGCTGCAGTCAAATAATCACAGTAATAACTAAACTATTATTGTGGTTGTCCTTTGCATAGTAAAAGTATCATTACTTTAGTTGAATAATCACAGTAATAGCTGACTATTACTGTGGTTTTCTTTTGTTGGGTAAAAGTATCTATCACGATAATAACTAAATTATTAGTGATTTTTATTTGTAGGATAAAAGAATCTATTACTGTAATTATGGATCCACAGTGACATATAAACTATTAATGCAGACTTTTACCTACTATTGTAAAATCGATAGTTATATCTTTTCACGATGACACCTATTATCACGGTTTCTAATCATGAGAATAAAATTTACTACTGATGAGGTATTTTTTTGGTCCCAGCCACGTCCCAATTGACGCACACCACGCCCTCGCCAAGTTAACATGAGGAGTCCACACACCAAACAAGATCCATACCAAGGCATTCCTCGGTACATCCTATCCCGGAAAGCTCGGGACGTCATCGTATGACGTCGTTCCGTGCATTCCGGGACGACGACCGCACGAAGGTACTACCTCGCCCCTCGAGGATTGGCTGGCGTGTCAAACCCGCGTATGGCCAACCCTTGTACAATAGTATAAAAACTTCTGACCGACATCTGGCTAGGGGGAGCCAAAAAAGAGAATGGAAGAACAATCGCGAACTTAGTCGTCGAGAGGCCAAAGTCGGGAACCACCCGACGAGGGCTTTATATGCAGGAGCGCGATCGCCTTCGGATGTCCGACCTCCCCGACCCGAGACGTACTCCCCAAAGACGGTGTCAGTATCTCTACCGAGAAGCGCCCCCTCTCAGACCGCATCCGCACCCTAACTTACAGACGAGACCGATCGCGAGCTCCTAACATCGACCCGTTGACCAGGCCGTGCATCGGTTCACCAGCAATTGCAGTTAAAACTACAGAAATATATAAATAAAAATCATAATTACAAGTATAATTTGTTATAAAAAAATATCTATTAGTTCCGAATCAGTATCCCATTCAAACATCAATGTCCTTACCTTTGTTCTTATTTCACCCTCTCAATATACATGATCCATCTTTATCATTTTTTCTACATTATTTTTTATATTTTATAAAAAAAATAAACTGTATTGATGCTCGACATTTATAATTTAGAGTTTTAATTTGCTAAAATCAAGCACAATAAGAATCTCATGGCCAAACTTTGACTAAATCCTTCGTAAATAAATCTACCATCATCACACAAGATGGGTCGATACATGCTTGAATAAATTAATAGCTTCATACAACAGACTATGATCGCCTGAAGGTAATAATCCTCCATCAACACTGATATAAATGAACTCATTTCCTCATGTAAAGAATATTAAAAGTACAAGAGAGACTATCGATGACATCATGAGTTGGCACCACTGTTCCTATCATTGCCAACTATTTTCTAAGTCAAAAGGATAAGTCGTAATCCAGCCACAGATGTGTTCTCCGGTGCTCAAACGCCATCTTCTTTTCTCTCTTTTCCTTTGAAAGAGACAGTGCTGTTTGGATCGTAGCATTCTTTCTCTTACAAAGGAGTGAATGGCAAAAAACACACAATTAATTTGTTAAAATCAAGCACAATAATAATCTCATGGCCAAAGTTTGGCCAAATCCTCCGTGAACAAATCTAGATCATCACACAAGATGGGTCGAGACATGCTTCAATAAATTAATAGGTTCATACAGCATGCTATGATCTCCCAAAGGTAATAATCCTCCATCAGCACAGATATAAATGAACTCATTTCCTTATGTAATGAACATTAGAGTACAAGAGAAACTATCGATGATATCAGGAGTTGGCACTGCTGGCCTTATCATTGTCAACTATTTTTCTGAGACAAAAGGATAAACGATGACAGTCGTCATCCACCCACAGAAGTGGTCGAGGTGTTCTCCGGTGCTCAAACACCATCTTCCTTTCCTCTCGCTTTTCCTTTGGAAGAGACGAGTGCTTGTTGGATCATAGCACTCTTTCTCTTTCAAAGGAGTGCACGGCAAAAAAAACTTTCATTTGAAAGATAGCATAGCAATCACATTATTCTTCACGTAGCTGAGATGCATGATGACCATGTTTCCGGGAAAGAGAAAGAGAGTTTTGATCTGAATTCTCTTTGGATATGAGTATTATGTGAAGGATTGGGAGATAAGACCGATGCTACATTAAAGATTCTTTTTTTTTTTGGTTTTTGTCGCTACTGATAGTTTTGCTTTATATTTTATAGGATGCATTTTCATGTGGGTTTTAGGATATTAGATTTAGTGATTAATATAATCATTTGAAAAGAAAAAAATCTATTTTTTTCTAATATCATGTTTAAAACAAATATTTTTTTAAGCATTCACAAGAAAAATATGTCGATCGACTTATAAAACAATGAGCCTTAGTTTATTGAGTCCAGAAATGAAAATTCTAATTTATAAATCTAAAGTATTTTTCTTCGTTTATATAAAAATAATAATTTTTAATAAAAAATAAATAATAAAATTTAAATTTAAATCTTAAAGATCCTTATCAACTAAGCCAACCTCATCTTGTTTTGTCAGATCTCAGGAAGGAAAAGAAGATGAAGAAACTACTGATGGCTTCATTTTATTTCTTTTAATTAATATATGAGCGAATTCTCAAATAAAATTTTTATTTTTTAAGATTTTTCTTAGAACACTTTTACTTTAAAATTTTTTAAAATAACACCTTGATCATTCGAAAAGATTATTTTATCTATTTCTTTTATCGAATAGATTAAGGCTTTTCTATTTATAATAGATCATAGAGATTCATACAAACACGAAAGGATATTTTTTTCTATACTGCCTTCGACCACAGCCGTCCTTTGCCACGCACAAGATTGGTTCTTCCACCTGCATCCCTCGCATGAGAATTGTCACCCCTCTCATTGCATTCGGGGTCACCCCTATTGATTCTCGGTGAACATCGTCCTCACATGTTAGGTTTCAACAAAGTCAACGGTAGAAATAAGATCGAGAGGATAATGGTAAAATAATTATTTTATAAAAAATATTATTTTAAAAACCTTTCGAAATAATAACTCTAATGGAAAATTTCAAAAAGTAAGGAAAAAACCCTTAATGTAATTACGATTACTATATTTAGGATATTTGGTTGAAGATTAAACAAATCAGCAAAATGTTAAAAAAATAAAAAAAAATGCCTCCTCTAGATCTGTAAATAAATTATTAGTTAATTTACTGATTTCTGCCTGTGAATCCTCAACATCTACCGACGTTGACCTAATCAATCTTTTCTCAATGTCTCTATCTATCTTATCTTTCTTTTTGTTGTTTGTTTACTTTTCTTATCGCATTATAAGAGTGTATATACTTACATTAACGGTTTAAATATCAGAATCAATCCCTTTGTTATCTTAATGAAGAACATATTATCATGTGCTCGAGTCGCTTCTCCTGCAAATCATCTGTTCTTTGTTATCGAACCCCAAAAACAAAGCTAACTTAAGCAGAAAAGCTGGAGTTGCATACCAAACTGGCTATTAAATCAATGTTTAGCTTATAATAACTAAGATTTAGGGATTCTTTCACCGTATATTCGATGAACGTGAAAGAGATACAGTTCATAAACATATTATATTTTTAGAATTAATGGATACCCATCTTTGTCAAAGACATTGACTGTGTGAGAGTGACAGAAGCAAAGAGAAAGGCCACTCTTCTCCTCTCCAACCATTCCCTCTCTTGGCTGTAGTCTTCTTCTGAAGTCATCTTCGTCTTCCTGATTTGCTTGGTTGGTGGTCGGTTGCAGGGCGAAGGGATGGGGATGGGGAGGCCGAGCGGAGCTTGGTCGACCCCGTGGTTGGTGGTGGTTCTTGTGCATTGGCTCCTCTGCGCCACCGAGAGGAGGCGAGGGGCGGTGGTGGAGGCCTCCCATGTGGAGTTTGCATCCCTCCAATCTGTTCCTGCCTCCGTCGTCGACAACAGGCTGAGGACTGGGTATCACTTCCAGCCCCCGAGGAACTGGATCAACGGTACGTTCCTCTCCTCCACCTCCTCCTCTTTGATGCCCGGAGGCATGCTTTGCCGGCGGCGCATGTTAGCCGGGGGCCTGGTTCGGGGCTACAGTGCGCCTGTGGGTCCCGCCGGAACTGGATCCGCCGGGTAACCCGTGTTGGTATTATTTTGGGGTTGACTTCCCCACGTAATCGAGTGTTACGCGATTCGTTAGACTGCTAAGATTTCTTCTCTACCGTTTAAGCATCTAATCAACGTCTTTTTAACGGTGGATTAAGCAAGAGGAATCCGAGACCACCACGTAAGAGAAGCCGATCCCCCCTTGTTTTACGCCGCCCTTTTCTGCAGCTCCACAGTATCTTTGCATTGTTATGTAATGGATAATGCCCTTGACATTGTCAATGAACAGCTGCTAGAATTTACACCTTGTTATTGGTCAGATTTGTTTTAATCGAATGCCAACACTGATGTGGTTTTTTATGTCGTTGTCATACTCTCCATGGACGTGCCCAAATGGGATCATCATCCAATGCACCAGATCCAAATGGTATCATCCTCTTCCTCTGAACCTTTCTTGGTCACATATGGATTCGTGAAGCTAATGGACGAGCAACCAAACCAGGACCCATGTACTTCAATGGCGTCTACCACCTCTTCTACCAGTACAACCCCAATGGCTCCGTGTGGGGTAACATCGTGTGGGCCCACTCGGTGTCGACCGACCTCGTCAACTGGATAGCACTCGACCCGGCCATCCGCCCCAGCAAGCCATTCGACATCAACGGATGCTGGTCCGGCTCCGCCACCGTCCTCCCCGGCAACAGGCCTGTGATCGT